ATATATATAATGTGTGTGTGTGTGTGTGTGTGTGTGTATATATCTTTCTTATAGATATATGAAATGACATGTTTTCATAGATATATATATATATATATATATAACTTTTCTTGCAGATAAGGCCACTTAAGTGACTTAAAGAAAAGCACTTTCATGACTGTTTCTTAACACACTTAAGTAGACTTTTAAAAAGTGCACTTTGTAAAAAAATGTTAAGTTTTACTTGAAAATCATTTTTTAAATGTGTGCTGCTTTAAGGAAGTGCAATTTTTATGTGTTGACCAAGCGGCAACCTCCCCCTCTCTCTCGTGAAGCCAACACGGAAGTGTAATTCATCAACTGGCCGCTAGAGGCTGGCAGTAAAAGGGACCACCTGCCACCACCGTCGAGCTAGGTGGGCGTGGTTTCAGCAACCTGCTCCCGCCTCTTTGCCCATTTTCGATTATCCGGGAGTGACGCGCGGTGACGCGCTGCCAAGATGGCGACGGCCGGCTCCGCCCACTTTTGAGCTTCAAAAACGCTCTTCGGAAATCTACGGGTGACGTCACGGACACTACGTCCATGTTTTTATATAGTCTATGGTGTTGACTAATATAGTAAAGCACATGAAAAGCTTGATTATTATTGTATTGTGTGATTTGATATTGCACAATTATTAATAATATACTACACACATTCATACTATATAAAACGCACTTTTTAACAGACGCTACGTAATCGGTTATCCAAAATAAATAGTTAATCAGAGAGTATATGCGCTTTCGGATGCAGCCGCACTGCCATAAAGCGATCCGCTATTTTCGCGGGATTTCGTACCCGCTCACTAAACTCGCGAACTCCCAGAACAGACGTTTGAGGGAAACGTGGGAAAGACACAGAAGCCAGTGCATCATCAGAATGATTTTAAAACGGCATTTCAATATAACGTACATACAGTTGCTTTAAAGCGGCAGAGATGTGAATCTTTATAGTTATTGTTACAGTGTTGTTATCATCACGTGACGCAGAGCGGCATCCCGTCACGTAGCTCGTTATACACTAATTTAACTTGAATGCTGTTCAGAATTACTTAATTCCCTTCTAATACAAGCAACAGAAGAGCAGATGTTTCGTGTAGTGAGTATCACAGAGAAAATAATATTCAGAGATAAACCCTAAAGCAAATCTTACTGTAATTTCCATTCTAATTTCCGCCTTTATTTATGTTCACTTATACAGGAAATACCGCCTAGTTGCAATACTGATCAAACTAATATGCATGTTCAATATTTGATTATAAATAGTGTTACATCAGTTATTTTATGGCCATGTTCATTGTAGGCAACTAACTGCACAAATGCACTAGGTTGTTATTTACAGAACTGTAACATATAAAGTGACATCCTATTTTTTATTATTATGTGTTTCCTCGGGAATCCAATCCATGACCTTGACCTTGCTAGTGTCATTTACCGGTTGATCTATAGGAGCACTAAACACTCGGGCCATTTGCTGTCAGTAATATAATGTAGCTACCTTTACAAGCCAATTTGAGTCCGGGTTTGAGATGATATAGTCAGTATGCACTGATATAAGGAACATATGTTTCACTGTGATGGCACTGACTTTATGGGTAATACTGTATAAAACAATTTGATTTAAGCTGGGAGATATACTCATCTTCATTATACGATCTCTGAGTTGTATTAGTGCAAATCGTGTCTCTTTGTGCTAAATCAGAGGACGTCGGTGATGTTTATGGCATTGGTTAGTGCTGTTGTCTTCTGGGATGCTCCGTGTGTCAAACTCTAATGCGAACGATTCCATCATTGCTCTGCGCAGGGAGATACAAATGATGAGAAAGAAAGGGAGCATGAGACAAATCCATTTATTGTCTTCAGCAATCTAATCTAACGCATGCTCGACGGATGTCCACGCTGAAAAGGCGCCTGCTTAAATTTGCATCTAAGTGAGAATCAGGTTATTAGCCTGACTAAGTGTTGTTGTCCATTTGCAATCTGCAAGTCAGGGCTGTTGGGTGATGTGTGTCTGGGGAATCCCAGTCTGCAAAGAGAGGGAATGATAATCATATGGAAATATCTCAGCATAGAACAACACTGCGCCCTGCTGGACAAACACGCTTTCACATGAAGCCCAAAGAACAAACAGGTTTACTTGTATTTCTTGCTGTCAGAACCCTTTATCCATGCAGCATGTTGTATTTGAATGAGATTGAAGACATTTTTAACAACGTTAAGAGTTTTTAGCAAAATAGACCTGATATAGTTAACATGAAATGTTATTGGCATGAAAATAGCCACAGAAGCTGCCATGGCATTAAAAACAAACAAATAGATGTTGGTGCTTTATTTAAATTCAAGTTATCAATCAGTACCATTTGTTTCATATCACATGGACAACAAATGTTTAAAATCGCTAAATTTGCATTTCAAACAGGACTGCTTCATCTGCGTTCCATGTTTAAGTCACAGACAAAACAAAGAGGCCCCTCATGCTAAATATTTTCAACACATACACATATCTCAAATAAAACAAGTCTAAGGGTCCATTTACACAACAATGATGCACTAAAAATAGACACATTTATCCTTTGCATTCTTGAAAAGTTTTGCGTACAGATGACAACGTTATCCAAAATGATACCCACTCACACGGATCCGCGTAAACAACTAAAAACGCTGTATTATGGTTGCAATACGCATGCACATGATATACTGTAACCGTTTTCAGAAATTCACGTTTTTATGGTTTACATGGAGACGGTAACTGTATCGTTTTCAAAAACTTGCACTTTGCGCTTTTTTGTGTTTTCAGGCTTCTGAAATGCTGCTGTCATGTAAATGAACAGCTAAAACACACACACACAGAAACTGTGTCATGTAAACACCCCCTAATTACTTAATACAGTACTCATCTAGTCCTTTCATGAATACTAAAATATTTTAGAAGTTATTTAATTGATATTGCACTCACTTGAGCCGTTTCTAGAAGATCAAATAATTTAAAACAATAACTATAATAACTAGAAAAATATATTCACAACTAAAATGCATATACATTGTTAGTGGTTTGTAATTAAAAGATAAAATGTTTCTATCTTTTTCAATTCACAGACAATTTCTAGCTGAACTGATATTAAAAAAAAAAGACTAGGAATTTCCATGATGTATTACATATTTTATTATTTTCTAGACTAGAAATCACATTTTTTAAATTCCCTGATATGTCCAACTTTTCCATGACATTACACATTTTAATCTACATAAACTCATTCATAATTTAATACAGTCGCATAAGAGCAACCCGGCTAACAGGAAATGTTCTCAGAACTTTGGCTAACGTTGTGACGAGGTTCTCTGAAAGTTATGATCAAATATTCTTCCAGTAACATTAATACAATGTTCATTCAGAGTTACAGTATCTGGTCTTTAATAGTGTTCTCAAAACATTAGCACACAAATGTCATTTATACGTTATTCATTAGAATGTTTAATTTATGAAACATTTTAGTTTGAGTTTATCTATTTTTTTTTATTTTTAAATTAATACAATGTTCATTCAGAGTTACAGTATCTGGTCTTTAATAGTGTTCTCAAAACATTAGCACACAAATGTCATTTATACGTTATTCATTAGAATGTTTAATTTATGAAACATTTTAGTTTGACTTTATCTTACTACTTGTTTCAGAATGTTCAGAGAACATTCAAATGTAACGTTCATGGAATGTTTGGAAAATGATACAATTAAATGTCCAAAAAAGTTTTAAAAACTGGAGGTTTCATAACTTAATGGGAATGTTCGAAAAACGTTCTCAGAACATATTTTACTTAGCTGGGAGCAAATGTGACCCTGGAGCACAAAACCAGTCATAAGGGTCAATCTTTTGAAATTGAGATGTATACATCATCTGAAAGCTGAATAAATAAGCGTTGATGTATGGTTTGTTAGGATAGGACAATATTTGGTCGAGATACAACTATTTGAAAATCTGGAATCTGAGGGTGCAAAAAAATCTAAATATTGAGAAAATCATCTTTAAAGTTGTCCAAATGAAGTTCTTAGCAATGCATATTACTAATCAAAAATTAAGTTTTGATATATTTACGGTAGGAAATTTACTAAATATCTTCATGAAACATGATCTTTACTTAATATCGTAATACTACACCAAAATGCTATGCCAAAAATATAAAAATATGATTTTTGGCATAAAAGAAAAATTGATAATTTTGACCCATACAGTGTTTTTTGGCTATTGCTACAAATATACCCCAGCGACTTAAGACTCCAGTGCTCCAGGGTCACAAATAGGCCAAAATAGACGCAAAACATAGAAGAAAAAAACAAACATTTACATTAAAAAAACGAAAAACCCCAAGCATTACTTGGTTGGTTCCACCTGGTGTTTCTGGGCCTGTATGCTCTGATGCCTGCTGGCTGGGCTGTGTTTTACACGGTGTTATCGTAAGAGGGAGAGGAGTATGGCGGCGTCTGCGGCCCCTGCATCGCTGCGTTCAGAGCCGCCTGCTGCACATGAGGGTTCTTCCAGGCGCCGGAGACCCACTCCTCCTGCGCTTTACTCACGCTACCGCCGCTGCCGCGATAGAAGTTATGAACCTGGCAAACACCAGCAATATTCAATTTAAACCAGGATACTTATTACAGAAACAACTCTCTTTAAAAGAATAAGTGTGAACTGAATTAATGTTTTCAGACTCCGCATTACATTTCTAGTTAAATGAAAATATAGTTTAAATTTATATATATATATATATATATCAAAAACAATTACCTCCGGTTTCACAGACGAGGCTTATATAAACTACATGTACATTTCCTATATATATACATATTTACAAAATATCTTCATGGAACATGATCTTTACTTAATATCCTAATGATTTTTGGCATAAAAGAAAAATCTATAATTTTGACCCATACAATGTATTGTTGGCTATTGCTACAAATATACCCCAACGACTTAAGACTGCTTTTGTGCTCCAGGGTCACAAATAGTTAAAGTTACTGCTGAATTTACTGAGAAGCATTTATGATCAACTAAAACATACTTTCATGTCATTTCCATTGAAACTTGTATGTCATGTTTTTAATTACATGTGCAATTATAAAGGTAAAGTTTAGTAGATTTAAAAGATATTAACTTTAAACGTAACATAAACATAATTTAAAATGTACTTTAAAAATAAATCTAAATCGTTTCAAAGTGCACTTTTAAAGTGTATTTAAGTGTTAAAAACAAAGTCATGAAGTTTTTAAAAAGATATACTTTTAGGATTTGAAGTACACTACAAGTGCACATTTAATACAGTTACTTCTTTTTCAAAAGAGAAGCTGAGAATATCTTTATAATATAATAACTTAAACTGCAATGCAATAAAATATAAACAAAACTTAAATGTATTTCATTAATTGCCAAGGCAGCATTTCTCATTTTCATTTAGTTTAACTTTATGTACTAAAATAACTACAACTGAAATAGCGATAATAAAACTGAAATAACGAAAATAATGAATAAAAATGTTATAGACAATAAAAAAAAACTAAAAAAACTAAAAAAAATATAAAACAAAAAAAAATATTACAATAAAAAAACATTATAATAATAATTGGAATAAAAAATACAAACTAAAAAAAAAAAAAAAAAAATGCATTTACAAAATATTAAACTATAATATTATCTCAATCATACTAAAATAACACTGGTAGGTCGTTTATCACCCATTCTCATTGGCTTCTGCTTTTCAGGCACAAATACTAAGGTAAATGATTTATTTACTCTCGCATCTAATTAGCAAGCACTACACGCTCCAGCATTACATTTAATGACACATCAGACAACAAAGCAGCCCCTCGTCTTCAACAGACATGTGAGCTAAACGAGCTGCAGCAGACAGGCCGACTGCGCAGGCACTGAGGCAAACCCACAAATACTAAGGTAAATGATTTATTTACTCTCGCATCTAATTAGCAAGCACTACACGCTCCAGCATTACATTTAATGACACATCAGACAACAAAGCAGCCCCTCGTCTTCAACAGACATGTGAGCTAAACGAGCTGCAGCAGACAGGCCGACTGCGCAGACACTGAGGCAAACCCATTAAATCTATTAAACCAGTCCCGCTTTCATAGATCAGAGAGGGCCGTACCTTCGTGAGCGCCACGAATGAGATGGCAGCGACTGCGGTGAACATGAGGGTGGGGATTAACATGATGATGGAGGCAAAGATACTCGTGCCAAAGAAGGAGATGGTGCCCAACCAGCCGCTGAAACACAGAGATCAGACCAGAACGTACAGAGAAGAGTGTTCATTAATTAAGCATAAATCATAGCACGATCTTACCAAACCCCCCATCCTGGTATTCCAATGGCCTGAATTATAGCGATGAAAAGTTGTGCCATGAAGACAAAGAAGAACGCCATGAAGTAGAATGAGCTGTCGGTCCTGAAAACAAACAAACAAACCGTACAGTAAATGTATAATGAACCCTTAATAATAATAACATTATGAATTCAATATACATTTACTATATGATGATGATAATAAAGATAATTAACAAATATTAATACATTTCATAAAATACAAATGTATTCATAAAGTACAAAATAGTATTAATAATAAATAATGATAAATATATTATTATTAGTATTAGTATTAATAATGTAAAATTATTATTATTACTAGTATTACTACTATTATTATTATTAATAATAATAATGTAAAATTATTAGTATTACTATTATTACTATTATTAGAAAGAAGAAGAAGAAGAAGAAGAAGAAAAATGGATTCATTATATATTTGCCATATTATTAATATTATGATAGTGGTATAATGATGATTATTATTATTATTATTATTATTATTATTACTACCATTATTAATACATTTAGTAAAATAATAAATTGCTCAGTAATAATAATAATAATAATAATAATGATGTTTCAAAAATTTACACACACACACACACATATATAATCTGTAAAAATAATTGGGTCGGAATAATAATAATAATAATAATAATAATAATAATAATCGATTCATTACACATTTACCATATTATCATGATGATGTGATAATGATGATTATTATTATTAATATTATTAATCAATAGTGTTGTTATTTTTATTAACAAATATTAATAATACATTTAATAAAATCCAAATGGTCAAATAATAATAATAAAAAAGAATGAATAAATAAATAATGATACATAACATAACCACTGTATAAATATAATCGGATAATAAACAGGTAAACCGATGCTCACTTGAAGGCGTTGTAAATGGGTCTGAACCAGCACACGTAAGAGCAGGGGGTGAAGAGAATAACCCAGATGATGGACATGCCAAAGTTAGTCACTCCTCCTCCTCCAAACATCCACGCCATACAGCCCAAGAAATTCACCAGCAGCGTCACTCCGTACACTGGAACAACAGCAGACTATTAAACCATCACAAACACACCTGGACATCTGCACAGATGGATCAGAGATGAGAGAAACCCTTCTGTTCCAAAGAGTGTACAAGAGAATAAAGCTCCTCCTTTCACTTACACCACTTCAGAGAGAGAGAGAGAGAGAGAGAGAGAGAGAAATGCTTTATCAAGCAGAGTAACCTGAGGACCCACAATCCAGCATCTCAGCTACTGCACTGCATTTGAACAAAGCTTATGGATGTCATATAAGCTGAAGACACACGCTTACTGAACACAGAGATAGAGCAGTTTAGCCAATAAATACACTTGTGTTACACACAACTGTGACATGCATATGGGATCATATTCCCGCCAAATGTATTGCAGTCACAGATAAAAAAAATAACAAGCGTGAAACCAAAATTTAAAAACGCAAGTAAATTTATATTGCACAAAATGTAAAATGAAAGCAAAGTTTTAAGAATAGCAAACAATGGTCACGGATCAAAAAATAATAAGTGTAAATCAAAAATGTAATAACGCATTTAAAAAAATTATAAGCATGAATCAAATCTTTAAACACATTTAAAATCATATTGCACAAAACTGAAATATTAATGCAAAATTATCCGAATTGCACACAAAATCATGCTTTCCTTGGTTATATTTCTCTGTTTTTTGTGCTCTCAGACATTTTTTGCACATATTTTTGCACACAAAATCATGTTTTCCTTGGTTATATTTCTCAGTTTTTTGTGCTCTCAGACATTTTTTGCACATATTTTTGCTTATGCTGTTTTTCCCTTTGCTCTTTATTCCACGTTCTGCGCTTCTTCTTCCAAATGTTGCGGGTAGAGTTTCATGTAAATCAGGGTGGGATTAAGCGTCATCAGGAATCTGATCCCATACATGCAGTCTACTTAATGACCAAAAGAAAAAAAGAAAAAATACTGGTTCCATGCCATGAAAAAATATTTTAAATAATTCTAGGAATTTAAGGGGGAAAAATACATTGAATTAATAATAATAATAATAATAATAATAATAATAATAATAATAAATAAGTAGAATTTGTAGAAAAGCATGCCATGTCACTCAAAAACAACAAAGAGAGGATACCTTTGGCAGGAGCAGCTACAAGTATGATCTACAGCAGGAGAAGAGCATTATTAATGTAATACAGCACAGCCTGATACGCTGTCATCCACAGCAGTGTGTCTGTAATAAACAGGCCAGTGTTTCTCAACGTTACAATAAATGAACTTTTCCACATTCTAATTTATTGAGATGCACCTGTACTGTATGTCAAAAATATGCAAAAATAAACAAATACTTAATATATTTGTAATTACATGTTTATAATGATGAAGTTGCAGTTTAGTACATTCAAATTGTATGTGCTTTAGTATGTTAGTCAGTTATTGACATTATTACAAAGTGCACTATAAGTGTAGTTAAAGAAACACAGTTATGAAAGTCACTGTAATGGCCTTTTATTTCATTAATATATTTTCTGGGCATAGTTTTTTTTAAACTATACTTTTAAGATTTGATGTACACTATAAGTGCACATTCAATACAATTAGGCACACTTCATCACAAGGGGAAGCTGCGGCAATATCTCAATAATAAGCAAGATAATATTATTTAGCAATATTTGCACATTTTAAAGATATGTAGGTTACTTACTGGTTTTTGATTGGCTTTTCAGGTAAAAATACTGTAAAAATATACAATACTTAATAATATATACTAATCTATCTCAAACATACATTGGTTTAAAAAAAAAAGATTCCACAGACTCCCTGCAATCACAGTTTACACCACTAGGGGTCCGAGACAGAACATGAGTAGATATTTTCCCAGCAGCATCTCTTGTGTATTAGACCTGGTTATTATTTTAGGTTGGTTTGGTGTGTTTTCCAGACTCACAGATCCACAGATGGTAGAGTCTCTTGCACATGGTGCGGTGCTGGTCAGGAATCTCCTCAAAGTCCTGGTGGAAGCACGGCTTCAGAGGAATAAAGCCAGGCAGAGGAGGAAAGTTGTTTTCTACAGGACAAATAAACAGAATAATGCATACATGCAAAATGCACTTTGTTATTGTTTATACTTTTGTAATGAATGAATGATTATTATTATTATTATTAGTAGTAGTAGTAGTAGTAGTAGTATTAAGAATTTATTTAGTTAGTTGGTTGGTTGGTTGGTTGGTTGGTTAGTTAGTTAGTTTTGATTTAGCATGCTTACCAGCCATTGGGAAACTGGTGTTGGCTACTTGTTCTTAAGAGCTGTGAATCTACAAGTGAAGAACATACATATGATCAGCTCAATGTACATTATGAACATTTACAGAACAATGAACACTGACCAACAGTAGGGCATGTAGGGGCAAGTTGTCACAGAGTTTGAAACAATTACCTTTTTTCTGCTCACAAAGCTGCATTTATTTGATTAAAATACAGTACAAAATTGTGAAATATTATTACAATTTAAAATAGCTGTTTCTATGTGAATATGTGTTAAACTGTAATTTATTTCTGTGATCAAAGCTGTATTTTCAGCATCATTACTCCAGTCTTCAGTGTCACATGATCTTCAGAAATCAGTATAATATGCTGCTCGAGAAACATTTCTGATTATTATCAATGTTGAAAACAGTTGTGCTGCACGATATTTTGGTGTTAACTATGATACACAAACACAAAAGGACAAATAAATGAATATGTTTATTCAGTAAGGGTGAATTAAATTGTTTAAAAGTGACAGATTGTAAAGACATTTATAAAGTTACACAATATTTCAAATAAATGCTGTTCTTTTGGGTTTTCTATTCATCAAATAATCTTGAATAAATGTTTTACAGTTCCCACATAAATACCAAGCAGCAGAAACTTCAGCACTGATTATATTAGGAACCATTATTAATCAATCGCTAATAATTGGGCACAAAATCAGCATATTAGAATGATTTCTGAAGATCATGTGACACTGAAGACTGGAGTAATGATGCTGAAAATACAGCTGCGCATCACAGAAATACATTACAGTTTAACAGAGATTCACATAGAAAACAGCTGTTTTAAATTATAATAATATTACTGTTTTTACTGCATTTTTGATCAAATAAATGCAGTTTTGGTGAACAGACATTACAAGATCTTATCTTAAAAACATTAAAAGATCTTAATGACTTCCAACCTGACACTATAGCCTATGTTAATTTAATATATATATATTTTTTAAAAAAGGTGCATGAGGTACATACAGTATTAGCCTAAATATGTGGGCATTTAAATATAGTCATGGACAAACAGGAGGCAAAAAGATCTCTGAAATCGTGTTATATTCAAAGTCCAGCTGAAGAACTGCATGCTTTGTTTAAAACTATGACACTTTGAACTCTCTTGAAGCTGATAGTGTTTCATGTCTGGATGTCTGCAGGCTGGGAGTGTGTTAAAAGCTCCTGGATTAAGAGACAGGATCACAGATAGGCTATAAGTGTGTGTGTTTTCTATACTGACACATTAAAATGCGTCTCAACATTTATCTTCGGACTATTGCTTACATCCCTAATGCTGCATTTGTTTGTTTCGCGGCCATTTACTACAAACAGTGAGCAAATGAAATCCATCCATCATGTCAGCTCAAGCTAAACTCAGAGACTGAATGGAGAGGAAAATAATCGCCTTACCTTCTCCTGCACACCGAGAGCCCTACAGTAACATGACTTCTAGTGCATACTTAAACACGCTTTCACACCAAATCAAGCACAGCGCAAACTAAAGGAAGCAGAGACGCTCGTTTCTTCAGATTGTTTCTAAAGTGTCTTGTAATCTTCATTGAGTTAACATTCCTCGCATATCCAGACACACCAATGACTACGCTTTCGGATTTTACCCAATAGGAGTGCAGTATTACGTTCTGAACACGCCCTCTTCCACCTCGTTGGCCAATCACCGCGCTGGATGGCGGTTGCTGTCCGCGGTGCTGAAGTTGTTGTTTGGTGGACGTGTTAAAGACGGAAACCTTCGACCTACGACTGACCTCGTTATCATTATCAAGTATTTGATCATCAAGTATTTTCATGCATATAAACGAATGCATTCTCCAAGATGTTCTTCTCTACATATGTAAAGTTATTCGTATTTTAATCACAAGAGATTTCAAATACCTCAGAAAAGGATTTAACAAGTGCACCTAATAAATGTCCAAAAAGGCGAATATGTGTTTCACATATTTTTATCAACAACCAACATAAATGTGTAAATTATTAGATCAATTATGAAAACTGTTATAAACTCCTGAGAATATAGAGTGAAGTTATTCCTCACTGTAAAAACAATAAAAATAAAATAAAATGTTCTAAATAAAGGAAAGATTTTTGGAGTAGCCTACGTTTTACAAAAACGCTATTTAAAATTCAGTATGTCAAGTTTAAGTCAATTATTTTATGAAATTTACTAGCAATTTCTGAGTTAAAATTGTTTCTAAAATATGTTTCAGTGTTCGTGCATTTGCATTGTTTTACCACTGCGTGGCAGAGTTTCTATGTCAACTCGTATCTACTTTAAAGCTTAATTTCTTAGGTCTATCATGCTTATAAATGTACAAACGACATTTTCCCCTTACAATTACATTTGATTTGTACTGTAATTAAACTCATAAAACGCTCAAATACACTTATGAATGCAACTGATATATTCATCTTATGGATAATGTTTTCACTTTGGGAGGTACATAGATAAATAAGGCATTTATTTGTCGTTATAATTATGCATTTCCTAATTATTTGGTGACGTTATGGGATCAAATGCATGAAAGGAGAGCGAGGATGAGGGTGGAGATTAATGACAGTGAGTGAGGACTGATAATCTCTCCTGTCAGGCAGATCAGACCTCGTCTTTATATTGGCTTCAGAGCTGGAAAAGCACTCAGTCGTCGCGGGGGAGATGAAATAACCGCTTGTGAAGATGATGCGCGGATACAGAACGGTGAGTAGTTTGAACAGATGAATATTATGCATGTGTTTTTTTCCCACTGGAGAATAATTTGAACTTGCTTTTTTCATATTTAAAAACATCGTCTCCTCAAATGTTACATTTTCATGAACATGCGATTTAAAAATGTTAAAACAAGCTCGAATTACATCGTTTTTTAAAATTATTTTACTTGTCGTAACTATTGCAAAATACTGTATTGTGAAGAAAAAAAGACACTGACATTTTTTAAAATAAAATTGCTGTTTTTCATCCTTATAGGGAAAAAAAAGAAGATCTGATTGAAATATTACTTGCACAAATAACCTGGTTTTTAATTATCAAAAATAATTTTATATATAACGGAATGTTGACTACCTAAAGGAATCACAACAAAAGTAATTTTTACCAAAGATCAGGAAGAAGTAGTTCATTTATTGCACACTTTTTATAGTTCATAATTCATATTCACATGCAGGGCAGTATAGGCTATGGTTTATTTATGAAACTGATATGATGTTTGCAGTGAGACTGAAGCTGCAGCAAAAAGATGATTTAAGGATCTCAATATTGCAATTGCAATATGGCTTTTTTAATTCAAACCGTGGATCAGAGGATTACAGTAGCTTTACCTGAGGACACCCCAGTGCTTCAGACACAACACATCCTTCACAATGATTGGTCTGCTGCATTCATATATTCCCATAACTGCTGCATTTGCCGCCTGTTTCTGTGTCTACAAACCTCTTTGTCTGTTTGGTCTCTGCAGACTCCCGTCTCCAACTCGACTCTGTCCTTCTGTGGCTCTGATAACTCCTCAGCATATAAGGTTGATAATGGCCTGCTGAATAACGGCTGCTTTCTGGACGCTCTCGGTGTCGTCCCTCATGTCTTCTTGCTGTTTAGCACCTTCCCCATCCTCTTCATCGGTGAGACGCTTTCTCAGACTTCACATTTTGCACCTGAGAACAACTCATTATGAACCTGGGCTTGGTTCAAATATGGTCCTCCAAGACACAGATAAGAATATCAAACATTGTTCAAGTGCATTGAGAAAAATCACAGCTGCACTCAACTGTTTCCAAATCGTACCATTTTTGGTTCCGCAAAGAACCTTTCAATGAACAGTTTTTAAAAGAAGCAATTTTTTTTAATGTAAAGTACATTTTAATAATCTAAAAAGAACCTTTTGTGCAATGGAAAGGTTGCATTGATGTTATAGGTAGAGAAGCTTTATTTTTAAGCTTTTAAGACGCTGTGGTTTTGTGTGCTGGTGTGGTTGTGTTCGTAGGTTGGGGCAGTCAGAGCTCTAAGGTTCACATTCATCACAGCACGTGGCTTCATTTCCCCGGTCATAACTTCCGCTGGCTGCTCACCATCGTCCTGCTCTTTGTGCTGGTGTGTGAGATCGCTGAGGGAATCGTGTCGGACGGGTGAGAACAACTACTAAACGATGGCTTCGATTCAGTCATTATCAGCCCATTGGTGCTTGACAGTTTTGCAGTTATTTAGTCATGATACGGTCTGTACAGTAGAAAAACCATTACGCCTATGGGATGTCCCCACTTTTCACAAAAACAAACCTGTGTGCGTATATATATATATATTGTATAATCAGTAAGGATGCATTAAATTGACCAGAAGTGTCAGTAAAGACATTTATAATGTTGCAAATTATTTCTATTTCTAATAAATGCTGTTCTTTTGAACTTTCCATTCATCTGTGAATCATTAAAAATAAAAAAAATAAAAATGTATCAGTTTCCACAAAAATATTGTGCAGCACAACTGTTTTCAACATTGATAATAATCAGAAATGTTTCTTGAGCAGCATATTAGAATGATTTCTGAAGATCATGTGACACTGAAGACTGGAGTAATGATGCTGAAAATACAGCTTTGATCACAGAAATAAATTAGTTTAATATATAATATAAATGCAGCCTTGCTGAACAGGAGAGACAACTTTCAAAAACCTTAAAAAATATATATTTTTAGGAATTTAAATAAATGTTATTTGCATTGAGATAATACAAATGTGCATGTAGATAAAGCCTAGTTTTCAGCACAGAACAATAGATAATAACAGGCAGTTCAGCCCGTGACGAGTGTGATTCTGCTGCAGTATTTACTGACTGAATGAAATTCTCCACCAGGTTTAATCAGTCCCGTCATCTCCACCTCTACATGCCGGCAGGACTCGGGATACTGGCTGCCATCACGTCCATCGTCTATTACCATAACATAGAGACCTCCAACTTCCCCAAGCTGCTTATAGGTATAAACAGACCCTGACAGCATGATTTCACACTGGACTGATGCAGTTATTATGATCCCTGAGATAAACACTGAATGTAGTGCAGTATGCAAACGTCTCATAATATGTTCATGAATTATTTCTCTTCTCACCCAGCATTGCTGATCTATTGGACTTTGGCCTTTATCACCAAAACCATCAAGTTTGTGAAGTATGACGATCACGGCATCGGTCTGAGGCAGCTGCGTTTCTGCATCACAGGGCTGCTGGCGCTTCTGTACGGCTTGCTGCTGGGAGTCGAGGTCAATGTGATACTGCGGAGGGTAAGCACGGGGTCAGAGGATTGTTCATAGCGGGTGTGTTGTGTAAAATAATGCATATCTGCCACACAGAGAGTGGATTAATGGTGACAGTGTTTAAAGGGACAGTTCACCCAAACATGAAAGTGTGCTGTTAATTTACGCAGCCTCAGGCCATCCAAAATCTAGGTGACTTTTTTTCATCAGTTGAACAGTGAAGAAGAGTTTTAGCTGAAACCGTGCTCCTTGTGAATCATAAAATGCAAGTCAGCAGCTGTACGTTTTTGAGAAAAAAAAAAAAAAAACATATCAAGGAACACAAAATGAATCCCCGCAGCTCCTGATTGATAATATATTGAGGTCTTATGAAGTGAAACAATCGGTCTGTGCAAGAAACTGAGCATTATTTACAAAACCATTACCATTATTTCCACTGGTGACATCAGAAATGTCATGCATAAAAATTGTATCTTTGATCATTAAATTGCACATTTGCAAGAAAAAATATTTATATTAAAACGTTATGTGTGTGAAATGCATTTACTGGAAAAATACTTGTCTGAAAAAACTACCTAGTAACCATTCGCCTCCATGTCAGACAATAAATTAAGCCATGATGACATTTTAGCATAATTATTGAAATAAAATAAAATAAAATAAAATAAAATAAATATATGGTGGCACTACTACTACTACTACTATTACTACAAATATAATAATAATAATAATAATAATGATGATGATGATGATGATGATGATGATGATTATAATAATTAACATTATATAAATATTAATATATAAATATAAATAATCATAAATAAAATATATAAATAATAATATTAAATCAATTTTTTTTTTTTTTTTACTGTGAGACAATTGAAATCTGCTGGAAAAATATAAATATGTGTGAAAATTTTTCCTGGGAAAATTAAATAAATAAAAACTTTGGAGGACATTGACGATTTGGCATAATTATTGCAAAACAATTAATAAATAAGTTTAAAATAAAATAAAATAAAAAACAACATAACGTAACACAAATCAATAAATAAATGTACTTTATTATTCTTTACTGGTATTATCTGGCAGGAAAAAAATATATGTTTGAATGTATTTCCTGAAAAAATACTTAGTAAACATTTGCCTCCATGTCAGGACACTAGCGCTTTAGGTACGGCATGATCTCCTCTGTGTGTTGCATAATCGTGCTGCTCCAGCTCCATGTGAGATTAAAATACGGAGAGCCTGGCTGTAGTTTCCAGCTGAATCCAGTGGCACCGCAGCGCACAATGAACTTCTGTTTGTGTCTGACAGCTGTCACTTCTCGCTGGACGGGGGCCAATCCCTCACTTTCCGCTGGCTTTGCTAAGCTGTTTATCAGGATGGCTGTGTTCTTCTGAAGAGAACAGAGACTCAATCCAGGTCTTGAATTTACGACTGCTTAGAAATGAATGTTCATAACTCATCACCGGGGATAATCCAGGCTCATAACCGGACCTCGTTTGGCCTCATGGTTTGGTCAAGAAAATGATGCATCGTCTGTTTTTGGACATAAACATAAGTAATTCTGGAGTTTGAACAATTGGAAACAAAGTATCTAGATGTGTGCAAAACAAGTCTTGTTTTAGAAAGCTAATAGTTTTACTAGAGCATCCTTTGTGAAAAAGAAGTACAATTTACTTTTAAAAAGTTTATACTTCAATGTGAACTGAGTGCGCTTTTCTTTAGACACTTAATTGCATGTTATCTACGTTTAAAGGAATATGCATTATATTTTAAATGTATATTAAATGTAATTAGTTAAACTTAAGAGTGCTTTTTTAACCCACTTACGTAGAACTTCACGACATCTTTATATGTAATTTCATAATTCAATTTGTCAGTTTTCTATTGTGTTGAGTGTTAAGAAAGTCATGAATGTGTCTCTCTTTAAATGCATTTAAGAGGCCTTTTATTTCATTATAGTTTTTTTAATATTACATCTTCATGTACAGTTTAAAAAATATATATATACTATTAAGTTTTGAAGTTCGCTAACAGTGCGTTTCAATAACATTAACCAATCTTCTTTTCACAAAGATTACTCAAAAAAAAGTGAAATTGTTTCAAAAAGCCAATGAAAATTAGACTTTTTTTTCACATTGTAAACATTTTGTAAATACTTCATTTATTATTATTATTATTTTTTAATGGATTGTTTTAAAACAAGCTAAAAAGGCTTGATGACCATTTGAGAAGAATGTTGGAAAGATCTTTTAAAATCAGGATTCTGTCAGCACTGGGCGGCACTATTTTGGTTATGCCCTTTTTTCCCCAGTGGGAAATAAGTTTAGCAGAGTATAAGCCTCTCCAGGTAGTGCACCACCCTGTTTCAAAAAGCCCAAAAAAAATTGGCTTTTTTTTTTTTTTTTTTTTTTGAAAGACAATACTTATTACTGCGTATTTCTTTTGTGATACTTCATTTTTTCATGTTTTCATGTTGTAAAGCATGTTCATTTTTGCTAAATACTTTTATTTTCTTTTGCAATGCTTCATTCTTTTACAAATATCTGTGCCATGGTTTTGACTCCATAATGAATGTCTTTTCCAACCAATGCTCTTGTAACAGACAAAATGTTGATTTGTGTGACTGAAGTCAAATATAACAATTCCTGTTATTCTAGAGAAGACAAATATCAATGCCGTGAAATACAGAGTCTGGGAAGAGCCATTGTTGGATTTGTTTCAACATGTGGTCTTTGTTTTTTAATTGATTGAAAAACTTGAGTGTTCTTCACAAAACCTAGATCCACAGAGCACACTGAGGATGATCTCCTCACTGATTCTCTTGTTGTAATTGCAGTAAATCCCTGCATCCATGTCCCAACATTAACAGTAAAGCTTCCCAAAACAGTAAATCTGTTACAGCAGCAAAAGAAGGAATGAACGATGGTTTTGAAATCCAAAAGCACATAGGAGTGTGGTGTTGATGCTTGACTAATGATCGCGTTCTCTCTTGGGTTTCAGCGCTACATGTGGTTTCCGTGTCCCACAGAGGTCAAGTTCGTTAACCTGCTGTCTAAGAGCACATACTGGTGGATGAACACCTTCATCACTTCCGCACACAAGCGGCCCATCGACCTGAAAACCATCGGCAAGCTGCCCATTTCCATGAGAGCTCTCACCAACTTCCAGCGGCTCCGCAAGGCCTTCGACGTGCAAGCGGTACAGTAACTTTCTTCACTGCGCTCACCATATCTGTATTACATTATGAGGATTTACCCCGTCCAGTCTGAAGGTCTAAAGTCTCAATTTATTGTATTGAGTGTCGCAGACATTTAGGATTTAATAATATAATATAATATAATATAATATAATATAATATAATATAATATAATATAATATAATATAATATAATACAATTAATATAATATAATATAATATAATATATAATTTTATTTTATAATTTTAATATATCATTTCAGGTTTTAATTTAAGTTAATTTCAATTTGAAAACGTAGTATTGTTCATTATTACATCATGTTATTTTGGGGTTGGTAAGATTTTTTTTAAATGTTTTTTTGAGTCTCTTCTTCATTTATTTGTTTAAAAATACAGACATATTATTACAATTTAAAATAGCTGTTTTCTGTGTGAATCTCTGTTAAACTGTAATTTATTTATCTGTATTTTCAGCATCATTCCTCCAGTCTTCAGTGTCACATGATCTTCAGAAATCATTCTAATATGCTGATTTGCTGCTCAAGAAACATTTCTGATTATTATCAATGTTGAAAACAGTTGTGCTGCACAATATTTTTGTGGAAACTGTGATGCATTTTATTTGATTACAACATTTATTTGAAATATAACTTATTGTCTGTCAAAACTGTCACTTTTGAACCATTTAATGTGTCTTTGCTGAGCATTTCTTAAACTTGTTGACCCCAAACTTTTGAACAGTATTATATATACAGTATGTATATATATATATATAT